GAGGGCAGTGTCACTGGCCCTCATATGTGGGATCCGAAACGGGGCCCTCTGGCGTCCCAAGCCAGTTCTTAACCATCGTGCCACTCGGCCGGCCCTTGTCATTCTGCTGCCAAGTCATTGTCATTTGTTATATTTTCACCTTTATTTTTCCTCCTTTTCCTCCATTCAGTATTTATGAATATAGTCCATATTTTTTCATTTCACTCAATTTTAGATATTCTACATTAGATTCAGTTGTATTAGGAACTTGGCAAAATTATTCCAAGAATAAACAAAATTTTTGCTTTCAAAGGTCTCTTTTTTGGCTTAATAACTTTTACTTTTATTAGTCACAATTATTATTATACATACACAGAAAATGAAAATCTAGAGCTAGCAAATTATGACTTTTCCTCTTCAGATTTAAAAATTTTCCCTTTGTCCTTGAATTTAATAGACTTAATTTGTTCTCTGACATTATTTATAATAATGAAAATTATTTTCAAATACAGGGCTCAGATTAAGTAAATGATGGCACAAAGTGACACTTCTGAGGAAGTCTTAATAATATGGAAGTACTTGTTTTAACTACAGTAAGATCACAGGTTTACTCACATGCTACACCTCAAATGACCATTTTTACCTCTAGTAGCTGTTCCTCGCTCCCCTTTGAGCCCTTTATCCACTGTATTGGGTGGGGGAGCCCAGGAGGGAGGAGTTGGAGTTTAATATAGTCTAATCCAGTTTTTAAAACTTCATCTGATTAATAGTTTAAGCAATCAGTTTAGGCAACTCAGTTTTCTTGAAATATATATCCAGACTGAAAGATCCTTTCCCCTTCCCTTCTTCTCTTCTCCAAAGTGGTATCTGCATATATGGGGGTGGTGGGACTCTCTTTGTCTTGCCAGGTCCTTTGGAAAGTTTCTATTCCTGTATTTCCCCCACATGTGCTCTCTTAGTTCTGACCACAGGAATCTGCCTGTACCCTGGTATTCTCAGAGCCCCCAAATCACCTAACTAGGACAAGCAGAAACAAAAATGCTGCCTTAGCTTGTGGTAGGAGGAACAAGGAACTTGTTACTCAATCTTCTGGAACTGTGTCTTTCTTCTGCCTCTTCCCATCAAGCACTGGGACCAAGATAAAATTTTCACTCCTTCCTATAGTGATACCCACCTGCTTCCTTTCCCTGAAATTATAATGGACAGAATGTTGGGAGAAAGAAAACAGTTTACTGATAAGGGAGCATATGTTGAAAAGCACTCCCCCCAAAAAAGTATACCCATTTTATAATGTAAAGAGGGAAAAAACAAGGTGCAAAATGTGTATACACTATCATAAAAAATTATATAATATGTATACAGAGAAGTCTGGAATTATATGCATCAAATTTTAAAATAATTTTTATTTATAAATTGCATGAACAAAACATTATCAGAGTTGTGTTTAGTAACCACAACTCAGAACTTGATTGAAAATAATTCCACTTCTTGCAAGATGAACTTATCACTCATCTTTCATATGAGCTTTGTTTAATCCTTCTGAGACCACAGCCTAAGAAACAGTTAAGCCAACTGGAAAGCAAAACTGAGAGGAGATGCAGAACACATACTTCCTCCAGCACTAACGAAGCCACCTGCAAAAATACGCTATCCATTCTCACTTGTCATAATTTAAAAACTAAATTAGAAAGTTGTAGTTGCTGTTAATGTTGGTAAGCCCAGGAAAGAGTATATCATGTTTTTGCTTTTTTTTGTAAGTCACCAAATCACTCTAAAAGACAAGCATAAAAAGTAGTGTTAAAAAGTTCCAACATCAGCAAAATAACAAGGTAAATTCACACTTTCATATGTCGGCTTTAAGCACTAAATTTTAAAGAAATTTAAAATATTTCTGGGCATGACTCTTGTTTTAAATAGAAATAAGTAAAAGCACTTTTACTTTACTTGCCAGGCTTTTTAATTTAGTATTTTAAGGTGAGGACGGGTGCGGGGAGGGGAGCATTTACTGGTGTAAGAAGGGTAAATACAGAAGAAAGGCATTAATTGAAATGTGTAGACAAAACAATAAAATAAAAATTATCTAAGTATTTTATAATATTAAGGTTAATATAATATTCTTATAAAAATTTACATGTGATTTATCAAATGTATTTCAACAAGGTTGAATTTTCATGATAATTTATATTCCTGGAACAGAATCATTTTATGTATATTCTTATATCTTCTTTTGATTTCAAATAATCAGCTAAAGCAAAAATATATAGAAAAATGTGAAGAAATGATTTGTGAATGAATAACTTCAAAAATTCCTAAAAGTTCATCCTCAGATAAAGGTTTCTTGCAGTCCTAGATATCTTTTTTAAATCACTTATCTATTCCTATTCAATCAACTTATTTTACTAAAATAATTTCATTTTACAAAGGGAAATAGCTTATTTATAACCAAGCTAAATGTAGCCTACATTGAGCTTTTTCAAAATGACTTTTGGGGAAATATTTTGGACAATTTTCAGCCTAAAATTATCTAGTTTCAAAAATTCTACCTAGGGCTGGCCAAGTGGCTCAGTTGGTTAAGAGCTCTCTCAAGAGCGTGAGCTCTGAGCAACAGGGTCACTGGTTCAATTCCAGCCTGAGCTGAGCTGCTGTTGAGCTGCCAACAGGTGGCAGGATGGCTCAGCTAAAAAAAAAAAAATTCTACCAAGTCTTTGATGGTAAAAATGAGTGATAATCAGCCAGTGTCTACTCTA